GAGATGCTCAAGGCCTTGGGAGCCTACCTTTTGCATTAGCATGGCCTGGATGTGAGACATGGAGTCAAAGGAGACTATTTTGGAGCTTTAAGATTTGATGACTGCCTTGCTGTGTTTTGAACTTGCATGGGGCCTGTAGCCCCTTTGTTTTGGCTGATTACTCCTTTTGGGAATTGGTGTATTTAACCAATGCCTATACCTCCATTATGTCTTGCAAGTAACTAACTTATTTTTGAGTTCACAGGCTCATAGGCAGCAGGGACTTGGCTTGTCTCAGATGAGACTTTGGACTGTGGACTTTTGATTTAATGCTGAAATGAGTTACGACTTGGGGAATTGTGGAAAAGTGATGATTGTATTTTGCAATGAAAGAAGGACATAAAATTTTGGAGGGGCCGGGGCAGAATGATATGGTTTGCATTTGTGTCCCTGCCCAAATCTCATGTTGGATTGTAATCCCCATTGTTGGAGGAGGGTCCTGATGGAAGGTGATTGGATCATGGGATGGACTGGGGATGGACTTCCCCCTTACTGTTTATTTAGTGAGTGAGTTTTCATAAGACCTGGTTGTTTAAAAGTGTGTGGCACATCCCTCTTCTCTCTCTCTCTCTCTTTCCTTCTGCTCTTACCATGTAAGGGTTACCTACTTCCCCTTTGCCTTCTGCCATGATTGAAAGTTTCCCGAGGCCTCCCCAACCATGCTTCCTGTACAGCCTGCAGAGCTGTGATTCAATTAAACCTCTTTCCTTTATAAACTACCCAGTCTCAGGTAGTTCTTTATAGCAGTGCAAAAATGGACTAACACACCAATTTTGATGATGGGCTTTGTAAAATTGCAAAGATCATTACTGCAGTTGCCACTCCTATGATTTGGTTACTTGTAAAATAGCAAAAAGTATTAAAAGTATGTTGACTTTTCCCATGCCTGACACATTTGGGGGCACTTTTCATGTACTGCTTTATTTCACCCTCGCTATAGCCCTCTGGGCTGGGCACTGTTGCAATCCCTATTTCACAACTGAGGCTGCTGAGATACAGAAACCTCATTTGAATATTGCTTTCTTGATACAATGCAAATGCATTTCATTATCCCCACGTCTTCATGGCAGAAGTGGCATTTAACCTAGCCCCAGGAGACAACATTGGATATTTTTAAATGTAAGAAAAAGGCTGAGACCCTAAGCAAAGACCTTTAAAAGATCCTCTGAACTTGAAATGAAGGTCACCAGGTCAACTGTTGAAACCTTAATAGTCCTTTCCCCTCCAATAATGTTATCAACTGCTGCCACAGGGCAGATAAAATTACTGCAGCTTTCAAATTCAAAGTAATAAAGGAGATGGGGAAGATGCCATGGTGATGGTGGGAGAAATACAGACTTTTCAATGAATAGGGAAGACTAAAAAGTAGAAAAATAACATAAAGAGCTAGATGCCTATAATCCCAGCACTTTGGGAGGCTGAGGCTGAGGTGGGAGGATTGTTTGAAGCCAAGAGTTTGAGACCAGCCTGAGAAACACATTGAGACTCCACCTCTACCAAAAAAAATTAAACAATTAGCTGGGCATGATGGCACGTGCCTGTAGTACTAGCTACTCAGGAGGATGCAGCAGGATGATTGCTTGAGCCCAGGAGTTTGAGGCTACAATGAGCTATGATCATTACACTGCACTCCAACCTGGGTGACAGAACGAGGCCCTGTCTCTAAAACTAAATAACATAAAGGAAGGTGGTGAGATGACCCAGCAAGTACTTCAGAATGATGATAGTAAAATGTCAAAATGCACTCATGGCTTTAAAATCTGGGGGCAGAATTATTAGAAGTTAGGAAGAGGCTCAGAATCAGACTGCCTAGGTCAAAACTTCACTCTACTATTTTCTAGCTAAATAACTAAACCAGTTAGTTAGCTTTCTTTTATTTATTTATTTATTTAGAGACAGAGTCTCACTCTGTTATCAAGGCTGGAGCTGGAGTGCAGAGGTGCTATCTCTGCTCACTGCAACCTCCACTTCCTGGGTTCAAGCATTCTCCTGCCTCAGCTTCCAGAGTAGCTAGGATAATAGGCACACACCACTACACCCAGCTAATTTTTGTATTTTTACTAGAGACGAGGTTTCACCATGTTGACCAGGCTGGTCTTAAACTCCTGACCTCAAATGATCTGCCTGCCTTGAACTCCCAAAGTGCTGGGATTACAGCACTTTGATTATAGGTGTGAGCCACTATGCCCAGCCAAGTTAGTTGGCTTTCATAAGCCTTGGTTTGAACCAAAAATTGAAATAATAATATTGTCTACTCCAATGGAAGAATTCATAAAATGCTGCCTTATATATGTTAAACTCTCGATAAATGACAGTTTATAATAGTCTCCATCTCAAAAAAATCTATTCATACAGATTTGTATGAAAAATGGTCTTTACAAACCTTCCTATGTTAAATAGCTCTTGAAAAAGGAAGAAGCCAATCTTAGCGATGGACACACCAATTCTACTTCAAAATCATTTCATAAATGAGATAAGATATGAAACATTTCTTAGAATAATGTTGAACACATAGTAAGTGCTCCATAAATGGCAGATATTGTAATATGAATTATTATTTATGATTGCACAATGGATAAGAAAAGATAGAGATAAATTAGATCTCTTAACCCAATTCTAAACCAAACTGCATGTCCAAAGAATGTCAGAACATTTGTAACCCTTATTCTGTGGAAGCATGGACAGCTCACGTGGGACCCCCTGCTGGGAAGATGACCAGTGTGGTGACGGCCAGCCCAGGCTGGGCTCTCAGGGGTAGGAAGGCCACAGAGCCTTTGTTGGGACAGAGCGAGGGGAAGGCAGTGGATCACATTCTCAGAAAGACAGAGCGGCAGGTGAAAAGTGGAGATTCCCTGTGACTGTGAGAAACATACGCATGAGGTCATACACTTGACGCATACCATTATCTAAAATGTGAAAGTAAAGAGATCATGGCAATCTCAATAATATCTGTAATAAAACCAATATCTAGGCTGGGCGTGGTGGCTCATGCCTGCAATCCCAGCACTTTGGGAGGCTGAGGCAGGAGGATCGCTTGAGGCTAGAAATTTGAGGTCAGCCTGGGCAACATAGTGAGACACTGTCTCTACAAAATAAGTAAGTAAATAATGTGTAATGTCTACCATATATATATATTTATATATGTGTGTGTGTATATATATATGTTTTTAAAAATCAATATTTACTATTACTTTGGTGCAGGAATTGGCAAACTATGGCCTGTGGGCCAAAATCTGGCTCTCTTCTAGTTTTTGTACAGCCCACGTGCAAAAAAGAATGGTTTTTACACTTTGATATGGTTGAAAAAAGTCAAAGAAGGGATGATATTTTATGATGTGTTAAAATCAAATGATATTCAAATTTAAGTGTCCATAAATAAAATTTCATTGGAATACAGCCACACCCATTCATTTATGTATGTGGATGGCTGATTTGGGGCTACACCAGCAGAGTTGAGTATTCACAACAGCCCCGCAAATCCTGAAACACCAACTCTATTAATCATCTGGACCTTTACAGAAGAAGTTTACCCTTATCTAGAGCATTGGCAATTCAGTGTCTTCTCATTCATTCACTCGTTTAACAAATATTTTGTCCAGGCACCAAGGAGACTGAGATCCAAAGAGGCAGGGAAGAGAAATGAAACCGAGTTATAGCATCCATAGTGCTTCAACAGAGATAAATACATGGCAAGGATAGAAGTGCCATGAGGGAGTGGCTACCTGATGGGGAGGGTTGCAAGGGTTTAGTCAAGGTTTCAGAAATGAAATAACAGTTCATCGGGTTCTCAAACATACAACACACAATGGGCAGTAGCCAGACAGTCTGCTGTCCCAATTTTGATGAGAATACAGGAGCTCAGAAAGGCCAGTGGCATCCTTAAGGTTAACTGGTAAAGCAGGGTCAGGGCAAGGTCAGAAACTCCAGGCTTCCCACTCCAGGCCCATGCGTACTCCAGAAGCAGGCTGTGAGATAACCAGGGAAGAACCCTCTGTGAAAGGGTTGGAAGCCAGCACAGGGGAAAGATAAGGTGACTTTTTCCAGGCATAGATCAGATTTGGTTACAGAGACTGTTACCTGCAGCAAATTGATACGGGTACGAGTCTGCAGCAACCTCCATTCTTGCCTCCTTAGAAAAAAGAATTCAACCGAAGGTCGTAAGGCAGAAGGCGAGACCAAGGCAAGTTTTAGAAAGTTGATTAAAAACCTTTAGAGCAGAAATGAAAAGAAGTAAGGAACACTTGGAAGAAGGCCAAGCGGGCAACTTGAAAGATCAAGTGTGCATTCTGGCCTTTTGACTTGGGTTTTATATGTTGGCATACTTCTAGGGTCTCCTGTTACCTCTCCCCTGATTCTCCCCTTGGGGTAGGCTCTCCGCATGTGCAGTTGCCTGCTAGCACTTGGGAGGGGAGCACATGCAGGGTGTATACTGGAGTTGTATGCATGCTCACCTGAGGCTTCTTCCCCCACTAGTCTAGTGTTCCTAGAGGAAGGTCATATGCCAGTTAAACTCCACCATTTTGCCTCTTGATGCATGTGCTTGAGCCCACTTGCTCAACTCCTGAGATCTTAACAGGAAGCTGTTGATCCAGTTTCAGGTTTTTCTGTCTGTTGGGAAACTGCCTTTCCCTAGCCCCAGCTATGACCAATTATTATTTGAAAGAGACAGTTAACAGCCACCTGACCATCATCTGGTGGTCAGCTGACATTCCTGGTTTGTGTGTTGGGGAATTGAAGGTATCCCTCTTCCGCCCTGCTCATCCCTAACTAGCTACATACTGTAACAGAAACAACCACTGGCAGTGGAAACTCAAAGTGTGTGCAGGTGCAGGACAAATGGACCTTGCAAATGACCATCTGAGAACATGGGCCATTGTTTTATGGACTGCAAGTTACTATTCTGAGTACTTTATGCTGTTTGTGTTTCAGGGGAACTGATGCCAAAGCCTGCATTTTGTTACCTTCTTTGGAATCACTGGGAATATCCCAAGTTTGAAGTCTGATTTGTTTCCATCACTCTAGTTTGGGACACATCCATGGAAGCCTAGAAGAGGAGAGGATTATCCTTTTAAGTTTAGCCATTTTCCAACCTTTTTTGTTTGTTTGTTTTTAATTTGCTTTGTCTTGTTTTGTTTCAGCAAATGTGTTAAATACCTACCATGTGTTGGGAATTTTTACATTACATCATTTCAATAAATTGTGGTTACTAGTAAATGGCAATTGTGCTGAATATATAAATGTTTTATTTTATTGTATTTTATTCTCAAAACAGCCCTATGAAACACAGGTTTGTAAATTTGGAAACGGAAGATCAGAATGAGTGAAAAAGGTAAAGCGAACTGACATTATTTCAGTGCCAGTGACAAAATTCAAAAGGCATGTCATTTTTTTTCTGCTATTATAAATAATGCAGCAGCGAATAACACTGAAATAAAGAAAAAACTTTTTATTATGCAAAATATTCTATCCACATTTTAAAATTAACATTGATGCTGCCTGAAACTCCAGTGGCTACTGAATACCCCTGGAGATGGACATTTGTTAATGTGATATTGAACTTTCCCCTCACACAGGGGAGACACTGAATATCTGTTGAAAATACGCAGTTGGGGACGTAAGGACTCTGGGGGCTCCATAACCTTGAATCTATGTTCAGTCTTTCCTCCCTTCTTTCTCCCTCATCCTTGTTCTCTCCATCTCTGGTCCTCATCTGGTTTAGATGAGGGGGTCCTTCTTAGAGCTGCTGCTGGTAATCCTACAGCTGGAGAGTAGGAAGGAAGGGGATACTGAGCTTTCCTATTTTAACAACAGTAATCCACTCAGGTGGAATGACAGCATTTGCAGCCTGTTAATATTCTTACTAATTAAAGTTTACAGCATGTGAAAAATTCACCTTTAAGGAGTTACGATTTACTTTTCCCATTCAGGACCCTTGGTATCATGACCAGTAAATGAAAATCTAGTAACTTTCCTTTACCATGAGACGCTCTTCGTCCTTTCTTTGTTTTCCTCTAAAGCTGCAGGAGGAAATTGAAAGTAAAAATTGGATGAACTCCTTCCCTGTGGGGGGATTAGTCATCCTGCTGACTAAACTTCAAATTTAATCCCTTACTGTTTCTCACACATACAAAGGCAACTTGGCCATTCGAGAGTGTGACCCTGACACGCATGGATCCTGGCTCAGACTCCAAGACTCCCTGGGTATTGATAACAAGGGGGAGACACAGGAGGACTTTGACTTCTGCAAATACCATAGCATAATGTATGGAGCACAAGCTGCCTGGGAACTTACCTCTAGCTTTGTAACTTACTAGCTGTGTGACCGAGTGTAAGTTACTTAACTTTAATGAGCCTCAGTTTCCTCATCTGTAAAATGGGAATGATAATAGCACCTACCTCATAGAATTGTGAATATTTAATTAGTTAATCTATATGGTGGGCTTAAACCAGTCCTGAACATAGAGCCCAATAAATGTTCACTATTATTACTTATACTTGTCACTGACTTATAGAATGGAAGCATCCAAGTCAGAGCTGCCCTGAGAAAAAATATTTCAACCTAGGTAGACAGATTAATTCCCTTGGCAGCTGGATCTTCACTTTAAATAAAATGCATTTGCCTTTGTGGGGATTTATTTGCATGAAGCATTCGTTCATTTTTTTCATCCAGTCACTACAAATAGCAAATGGTGAAATCCAGGAATAAACCTATTCATTTATTTATTCATTCAATAAATACTCATCATGTTCTGAGATCCACATAGCAAGTGTATAGATATTTCACAACTACAAATCTAGGTAACAAATCATTATATAAAGTGTTTTATACTACTTTGACTAATTCACTTTCAAGATGACCTGAAAAAGTAGGTTTGAATATAGAATTGGAATGCCCACAGTTCTCTGCTCAAAAGTAACAGTGCAAAGATTGCTGGCCCTAGCTCTCCATCTATGGCCTGACAACTTTTTTCCCACCCAAGCTGAGTTCTGTACCATGCATCCTTGCACACAGGTGTGTGGATGCTCTACCTTGCATGTCCAAGCTGCACACACAACTTCACCCACCACTCCATGGACATGCCTCCGGCCTAAGGCGCTCATTCTAATGGCATCATCCACCTTTGTGAGAATAGGCCCAGGTAAGAGGCACATAGAGACAATGGACGTGGGTCCTGGGCCTTTGAGGTAGATAATTTTAGAGTCCTGGGCACTTAGAAGGAGGACATAGCCTTGGGTGGACAATTCCCCTTGGACCTCTAGATTTTTACCCCACACAGCTGGAGGAGGGCAGGAGCAGGATCCAGGCAAAGGCCTCTTTGTTTGGATCTAAGCGCATCACCATTTAGTAAGCCCCTCTGTGTTCACGCACTGTCCTCAAAACTGGGGATACCATGGTGAGAAGATAGACATGGTATAGAGCTTATAAGATGGAAAAACATTCACCAACTCTTGATATAAACATAAATTCTAATTGTGATGACACCATGAAAGAGAAATCCAAGCTGGTGTGAGCTTGTGGAGAGAGACAGTTCTAATCTCATCTAGTGGTTGCATATGCTTTCCTGGGAAAGCTACATAAGCTGAGACCTGGAGGAGACAGGAGGGTGTAAGAGAGCCTTCTAAGCACAGGGAGCGTCACATGCAAAGGTACTGAGGTGGAAAGGACCCAAAGAAAGTGAATACTTCTGGAATGAATAGAAAGACTGACAGGGTATGGAATATGACTAGGGATGAAGGAAAGGGTAAGATACTTCAGGGTAGGATGGGGATTTTGTTTTGTAAGGACTTTAGTATTTATCTAGCAGCAATGGGAAGGCATTTAAAGATTTTAATCAGGGGTGTAATTTGATGAGATCTGAATTTTTAAAAGTTCTCTTTGCCTGCAGCTTAGAGAAGGGATTGGGGTGAAAGGGCACAGGAGTGGACATTGTGAGCCCATTTGAGAGACTAAGGCAAACACAGTGGTGGCTTAGAAAGGATGCAGAGAGAAGTGGATGAATAAATCCATTCATTTAGTGCAGAGCTAAATGAATGTGCAGGTCAAGTGTGGGGAAGTATCACAGATAAATTTCTAAGTGTCTGGCTTAGTACTGGGTGGCTTGTGGGCCATGTTTGGTGGGGACAAGATAGGCTGTGTTTGAGATGATGGTGAGAAGGCCAAATGGAAACAGTGAGAGGGAGCTCAGAGAAGATGCCTGGGTTGGACTTGCCAATGAGTAGAAGGCAACTGGCACCATGGGAGGAGATGGGGTTACATAAGCAATGTCTCACTGCAGGACTCTCACCTCAGGGAGAAGAGATCAGGGGCGGCTGAGCCCTCAGGAGTTCCATAATTTCCTGTTGGACTCAATGACTTCCATCATCCTGGTCCAAGCTGCTGTCCTCCCTATTCCCACATGGCAGGCAGGCTGATCCTTATAGAAAACATGTCAGATGAGCTTAAAACCTTCTCCTCAGCCTAAAACCCTCCAGCAGCCCCCAGTCACTCAAGGAGAAAAGCCAGAAACCTCACAGAGGAGCATAAGGCCTTGCACAATTCAGCACATGCACTACTTCCCCCGTTAACTCTCTGACATTATTGTCAAGTGCTCGCCCTCTCATCCCTGCACCAGGGCATTTGCACTGATGTTCCCTCTGCCTGAAATGCGTTTCCCTCTCGTGTTACACGGCTCGCTTCCTCAGCTCCATGTGACCTTTTCAGGCAAGCGACCCTGATCACCCTATTTAACCCCACTCCTACCTTTCTGCTAAACAGTGAGCTTCATGAGGACAGAGGTTTTTCTCTCTCCCTTCTTCATTGCTATTTTCTAGCACCTAGAAAATTGACTAACACAAACTCTATCTTCAACAAAAATTTGTTGGATGAAAAAAATGAATGAAAACATTAACTCAATTATGCTTGCAGAAATCCCAACAACCTCACCTTTCCTACCCGCCAATCACCTTTTCCCACTGTTTAGACCATCCTGCTTTCTCTCTCAGAAGCACCTCCAAGCTCTATTTTTGGGGAGGCCCACTGGGGATTTGTTTTTCTGCTGCCTTGCACAATAGCATTGTGAATAAAATTTTTTCTCTTTCGCAGAAATCCATCATCACAGTGATCGGATTGCTGTGTGATGGCAGAATGAACCTGGTCACTAACAAAAGAGGTAAGGAAGTAGCTGAAGGGGGATATGAGATCAAGGAAGGTTTTCATTAGGTTTTTAAGATGGGAGAGGCGGAACTTCGCCCAAATGCTGAGTGGAAAGAGCCAGGAGAGACTAAGATATAGATTTATGAGAGAACAGATAAAATTAATATAGTGTAAGCTCCTCAAGAAGGCAGGCCGAGACCCAGACATTGCCTAGGAAGAGAGCCTCTCTTCTCCAGGAACAGGACAGATTAAGGGGTTGATGCAGTGGGAGGTGAGTCTGCGGAAGCAATGAGCATTTCTTATGATGGCTTCTGCTTTCTCTGTGGTAGTAGGAAGGGGGTCATGGGCTTGGAGAAAGCAAGGGAGGAGGAAAGCTTGGAGGTTTGCAGGCAAAGGAGAAGACTTGAAATTTTGGACATAGGCCCACAATCAATTGGCTAATGGAATGAGTGACATCAGACACGAAACACTGGGCCTATCTGTGAAGTGTGATAGAGGCCATAAATTCCGTTTCAGTGCATCTCTGAACCTGCTTAGTAGACACCATGAACAAAGCTCACTCTCCCAAGTTGAAAAAACGTATGGACAAGTTCTCACTGAAATTAAATGGTGGTAGATATATCCAAGGAATACTGTGGGGATCCAGTCATTTTATGGATCTTATGATAGATGAATGTGTGAAGATGGCAATTAGTGGACAACAGAACAATATTAGAACAGTGGAAATAGAAGGAAACAGTATCATCACGTTAAAAGCCTTGGAACAGGTCTAAAAAATGGCTGTTCAGCAGAGGAATTCTTGTCCCCTCTCCAAAGGGACTGTTTTCTATGATGTAAAAATTAGATCGTGTACATTTTCATATTAAACTTTTTGTTAAATAAACTTTTGTAATAGTCAAAAAAAAATGGACACAGAATGACAGAGGTGGGTGGTAGTGTTAAATAGGTGGGTGTGGATATTGCTATGTACTAAGAAATATACATTTTTATTTCATCCTCCCCTAAAACCCTTGGAATCATTCCTAAAACCCTTGGAATCTCCAAAAGGATAAATGTCTTCTTGTATGCAAATAAAATTATTTTTGGCTACGGTGTCCTATAGTGTCTGCTGGTGGGGGTTGGTTGGCAGGGAAACCAACCATGTGATTAGAAGATTGGAACTTTCAGCCCACTGTCTCCAGGGAGGGTAAAAAAACTGAAGGTTGAGTCGATCACCAGTGGCCCATGATTTAATCAATTGCCGCTACATAATGAAGCCTCCATAAAAACTCAGAAGGACCGGTTCTGAGAGCTTCCAGGTTGCCGAACACATGGAGGGACCTGGAGCATGGTGCACCCTGGGAGGGCGTGGAAGATCTGTGGCTTTCCCACATACCTTGCCTTATATACTTCTTCATCTGGCAGTTCGTCTACATGCTCCATAACTTTATAACAAACTGGTAAACATAAGTATTTCTCTGAGTTCTGTGAGCCATTCTAGTAAACGGTTAAACCCAAGGAGGAGGTCGTGGCAACCCTTGATTTATGGCTAGTTGCTCAGAAGTACAGGTCACAACCTTGTACTTGCAATTGGTATCTGAAGTTGGGGGCCATCTCATGGGGCTGAGCCCTTTAATGGTGGGGTCTGTGCTAACTCTCAGAATTAAATTGTAAGACACCCAGTTAATGTCTACTGAGCATTGCAGAATTGTTATGTGAAAAACCCACACATCTGGTGTCAAAAGTGAAGTAACTGAGTAAGGAACAGAGTTTGTTTTTCCCTTTTCAGTGGCGGAGGATGTATGGTGGGGCCCAAATGAGGAAGCCTCTGGTTATTAAATAGAACAGATCAAACAAATATAGCACTGTAGGTCAAGGGATCTAAGAGCCATAGACCTCAACTTCCTTATTATTTGGAGAAAATAATTATGAGACAAAGTAGCAAACATCTGCTTCTGGCCAGCCTCACAGCCAGCCCTTGCAGTGAAGAAGCCATGCCTCAGGTTCTAATGTCTCTTACCTGAATCACTGTGTTTTTTAGAAAAGATAAGCTCAATGATTTCAGCCCTTGCCTTTTCTTGTATGTAATGACTGACCGTATTAATGATTTTCCCTCTGCGATCTATAACCAGATGTGCTCTCACACCCAGACTTTGATGAGATTTTGCTTTAATGTAACTTCTGAGCACATCACCATCTAATACGTAAGTTGTGGGTTCATACACTGCTTTGGAGCAGTCTAACTGAAACAAAGATTCACTTGGGTTGCCATCCTCAGGAAGACTCAGTGAAACTGACTTTAATTTTGTAAAAGCCTAGGTTTCTCTTTCTTTGACACGATCTGTGATCTGTCACAGTTTTTACATTTTGTAACTCTGTTGGGCTCATATAGGTATCAGAACAATGCTGGCTTCTTCCAGTATCTTAAGGTAACTGAGAAGGTTGCTTCATCTCAGAGAGAAATTCCATTAGAGTCATTGGGGCACAGAGGTTTTTTACTATTCTCCAACCTCTGCAGGAAGCAATGATGCATTATTTCATGAACTAGAAGTAATTAACCTGAGAATCTCTGCTATTTATATTTGGCAACACTGTAACACTGTGTGGGCATTGACCTCTATGTGTGTGCCCGAGTGGTTCAAAGCTTGCTGTGGAAGATAAACTACTATAGGGGGTGTAACCCCCACTCCTGTATGCGGCACAGTGAAAAAGACCACTGGTTCTGGAATCAGGGAAGCTGGGTTCAAATATTAGATCTTCCACTTGGGGAAGAGAAGTCAGGTCGATGGAGGGGAACCTCTCTAAGCCTCTGGTTTCCTAACCGAAGAGGCCAATCATAAGGCCAACCAACTGTGCACAGGTACTTACTGGAATACCCACCATTCTGAGCCAGCCACTATTGTGAGTGTGTCTTATAGTAACTCATTGTATCTTCACAACTTTCTAAGATACTATTTTCATCCTTATTTAACAGGTAAAAGAAACTGAGACACAAAGATTTTAAGTGATATGCCCAAGGCCACCCAGTTAGTGAGAGTCAAGCCTGTCTGACTTGGGTTGGTGTTCTCACCCACTCACAGCAACTGCTCCAGGCGCTAGTGAGATGTGCCACTTACTGAAGCCAGCACACCTTATAGTGTGTTTAGTTATCACAATAACCCACAGTGTCATTATCACGCCTCTTTCACAAATGAGGCTGTGGAAGCTCACAAAGGTTAATCCATTTGCCCAAGACCGACAGAGCCACTCTGGCAGAGCCAAGGTTAACTGGCTTCCAGAACCTGCTCTCTTCCTATGAAAATAAGGTAACACATGGAAAATGCTTGGTAACTTGTAAAACTCTGTATTGACAATGGTATTACCATTCTCAGTAGTCCTTACTTTCTTCAGAGCTCAGAACTTTATGTTGCTTTTACAGATAAGAAAATTGAGTTTCAGGGCAGTAAGCCAATTTGCTAGCATTCCACAGACAGGGTTGGGTTTGGAACCAGGTCTGTGCTTCTAAAATAGGAGGCCCTTAGGCCCAGGGGTAATGGGTAAGATGTTCTACATAAAGATGGTGTATCCTTCTACAGAATTGATTTTATTCAGAATTTGGGTAGAAATATCATTTTTACGTTAAGCATAGCAATATATTAGTGCATCAGAATGCAACACTCATATTGGTTTTTTTAGTAAAATATAAGACTTCAATTTTGCTTTTCCTCCTGCAGCATACGACTATCTCCTCAGGTCCCTCAGGATATGGATTAGCCCCTTTGGTCAGGAGGGGTACTTGGGCGGATGTTGGAGAAGCTCCTGCTACACTGGGCAGCCTCTCGCTGTGCCATGTGCCTCTGCTCCCCTCGCCCACAGAGGATGCTTCCAGATGAATCCTGCCCAAATTCAGGGAGGCGGAAAGACAGTCTCATAAGGAGCCTGTGAGTCCCTGAGAGTACTTTGCTTTTTAAGCAAAAGATACAGTTACTTCTCTTTACCTGATTCATTTGCCAGTTGATGGAATTGATGTATTAAAATATGTTCACTCACTAGGTCTCTAACTTTCCCAAAATCCATCCAGACAGACAGCTTTGTGCCCACAGCTGTGAGTGTCTTGACATTTATCTCTAGAGATGCTGGGATCTAGTCTAGAGTCTGTTGTGTCTTGTTCTGTGACCTCAGGCCAGGCTCATTACCTCTGTGGGCTTCAGTAACCTCACTTGCAGGGGACAGGAGTTGGAGAATCACTAAGATTTTTTTTTTCCATTCGGGCAGGTTCTGGGGCCCAGGGGTTAAGTAAAGACAAGAACATGAGGTTCAGTAGCTGGAAATTAAGTTCCCCAAGAGCAAGGTCTTTTTTGTTCATTGCCTGAAACAGTGCAGGACATACAGTAGACAGTGAGTTACTATTTGTTAAATGAAATGAATAAACCTCCTCAACCTCTTGCCTGGCAGAATCAGTAAATACAAGGGAGGGGACATCCAGACAGATGACCTGAACAGAGTGGGCATCTGATTGACCTTTGCTCCCCCCAACTCAGTGCTAGCCCAGAGCCTGGCATAGGTGGCTGCTCATGGATTGAGCTTTTAAACAGCACTGAGGGTGGTCGGCAGGCAGGAGTAGGGGTGGTCTCAGTGGATTGTGGTCATTAACAGTCCGTACTCCAAGAGGTCAAGGGCAAGATGAGGGAACATGACACTTAGAGCTTCTGGCTGTGTTTGTATTGGTGGAGGTGATACCTGACTTAGATGTGAATAAAACCGCGCAGGACAAGGGATGAGAGCTGGAAGTGTTTTCTTATTTGTGTGTGTTGTTTTAGCCCCCTAGAGACATTGTTTTGCATTTGTAGTGTAAACAAAGCTTCCAGAGAGCTGGTGAAAGATGCTTCCTTCCCTTCTCTCCTACCCCGACATCAATGGATGTATCTTCCCTTCTCTACCACTGGGGGTCGCAAGTGCCCACAATAATGCTCCATTTCTTTTTAATAAAACAAACAGGAAGTATCTTTTTTGTGAAGGAGATTTGTCCTTCACTGATGCACTGCCCTTTGGTTGATGAATACTCAGAAAAGGGGTAAGGACAGAGGATGTTGTGAAGGGTAGAACAGGGGAAAAATAGGGGGCAAAGCTTGGAGCCTGTTTCCAAAGAGCAAAAGAATGGATCTCCTCCCAGGTAAGCTGTCACCTCCCCACTGGGGTGGGCATAAGTACATGGTAAAGCAAGTGTGGGATGGGGAAACGGGCTGCCATATCCCCTACATCTCCAAGTTAAATAGTCTCCCAAGGTGACGCCACCAGGCAGCCGAAGTCAAGAACCATGGGTTTAGGATGAGGCCATATTTTAAAGGTGCATCGCTTTAAAGAAAAACATTGAGTTAGAAAAGATTTAAGAAGCCCATGTCCATGGCCAAAACAGTGAGTGGCTGAAGGTTTGAAAACATTATTTCACTGGACCTTTCTTCTCCACTGGGCTGCAAACCTCAGCGTTCATAAGCTTTGCATTCCCAATGCCTGGTGTAGTTCGTGGGCCACTGGAGACTTACAGTAAGCCCTGAAAGGAAGAAGAGAGAGAATGAGGAAGGAAGGGAAGAGATAAGGAAGGAAAGAATGGAAGGTGTGCATAGTAAGAAGGTAAATGTGGCAGATGGCCCCAGCGACTCCTGCCCTCTGGTGTTCATGCCTTTGTGTGATCCCTCCCTCAGGAGATATGGGCTGGACCTAGTGACTGCATCCCAATAGAGACTACTTCAATAGTGATGGTATCTTACTTCCCAGGTTACAAAAAGGCTGTCACTTCTGTCTCGAGCACCTTTCTCACTCTCTCACTCTTTCGTTTTGAAGAAAGCCAGCTGTCAAGTTGTGAGCTGCCAACAACCAGGTGAGTGAGCTTGGAAGGAAGCGGGTTTCCCCGTGTGTCCTGGGATGGCTGCAGCCCCAGCCAACATCTTGATTATAGCCTTGTGGGAAACCCTGAGCCAGAGACAATAGCTAACCACACTCAGATTCCCACCCCCAGAAACTGTGAGATAGTGTCACGCGCGTCCGTGTGAAGAGATCACCAAACAGCCTTTGTATGAGCAATAGAGCTGTTTATTTCACCTGGGTGCAGGCGGGCTGAGTCCGAAGAGACAGTCAGCGAAGGGAGATAAGGGTGGGGCCGGTTTATAGGATTTGGGTAGGTAAAGGAAAATTACAGTCAAAGGGGGGTTGTTCTCTGGCGGGCAGGAGTGGGGGTCACAAGGTGCTCAGTGCGGGAGTTTTTGAACCAGGATGAGCCAGGAAAAGGAATTTCACAAGATAATATCATCACTTAAGGCAAGGACCGGCCCTTTTCACTTCTTTTGTGCTGGAATGTCATCGGTTAAGGCAAGGCAAGGCATTTGCACTTCTTTTGTGATTCTTCAGTTACTTCAGGCCATCTGGGGGTATACGCAAGTCACAGGGGATGCGATGGTTTGGCGTGGGCTCAGAGGCCTGACAGTTAAGTATTTGTTCTTTTCAGATGGTAATTTTATGATGACAGTGTTAGGCCGCAATAGGTACCTAATACAGATTTTGGTACCTAGAAGTGATATCTAGAAATGTAGGAGTGTAGGTAGTGGATGGATCCTGGAAGCATTTGAAGAGAGGGTTAGAGAAAGCTTAAATTGCCATAAACAGACTTTTTACAGAAATCTGGGTTTTGAAATCACTGCTTTTAATTATTATAACTTCCATGCACCTCAAAAACTGCAGATACTCTCTGCACATAGACAAAAAACTTTATGCAAATACTTGTGTTCCTCTTTAGCAACATGACAGAAGTTACTACTTTTTATGTTTTTAAACATGAGCGCATTGTCATTGTTATTATCTAGCAGATAGTGCTAGATACGTGCCAGGCACCATGCCAGGCATTGACAAGACAAAGGTGTATAAATAATATTTGCCCTTAAGAATATAGTCTAGGTAAATGTTTTTTGTTTATTTTTGTTTTAAAACTGGACCCTGGGTTGAGAAGGTCTTGCATCTTAGAGTTGTATGTATTCATTTTATTGACAGCAAAGATCATTTCAGCTGCTCTACACCATTCAGGATGTTATTTGATTCGAGTCAAGTGTACACACAAAAGCTCTTTTTTGGTTTCTTTCTCTCTTCCTTCCTCCCTCCCTCCTTTCCTCCCTTCCTTTCTTCCTCTCTCATCTGTGTTTTCTTTCTTTCTTTCTTTCTTTCTTTCTTTCTTTCTTTCTTTCTTTCTTTCTTTCTTTCTTTCTTTCTTTCTTCCTCTTTCTTTCTTCTTTCTTTCTCTCTTTCTCTCTTTTCTTTCTCTTTTTTCTTTCTTTCAGAACAGGGCCTTGCTCTGTCACCCATGCTGGAGTGCAGTGGCATAATCATAGCTCACTGTAACCTCAAATTTTTGGGCTCAAGTGATCCTCCTACCTTAGCTTCTCAAGTAGCTGAGACTATTCGGGCACACAACTACGCCCAGCTAATTGTATTATTATTGTTGTTGTTGTTGGAGAGATGGAGGTCTTGCTGTGTTGCCCAGGCTGAGGAGCTCTTTTCGTAGTAATCATTGCCTCCCTCTTGGTGCCATAATGTAACGTCAGCATGGTCAGTTCTAAACAATACGTTGAAGGCATCACAATGGAATAGATTCACTGAAAAATCTCAGATGTGTTTTGCGAACTTCATTTGACTCAAGGGCAATTTATTAAAATGTGCAGAATCTGGAGGAAAGAGAACTGGGATGAGAGTCAGGAGACAGAGGTTTAAGACTTGTCTGTGCCTTTGACTAAATGATTTGGGCTAATCACTTGGATTTTCTGTCCTTCAGGAGGATCAATAAAAATGGAGAGACAGGCTGGGCACTGGCTCATGCCTGTAATCCCAGCACTTTGCATGGCCAATGTGGAAGGATTGCTTGAGGCCAGGAGCTTGAGACCCGCCTGGGAAACAGCAATATCCTGTCTCAGGAATAAATAAAATAAAATAAATAAATAGAGAAACATGTTAACATGGTTTTTGTGAAAATTACATATGATAATACCGGTGAAAATGCTTTGAAAAAATTTTTATTCCTCATGTACATGGTGGTAATCTTGCAATATTTATGCAGAACAAATTATAATTTCTCTTCTTTTATGCTGGCAACAGTTTCCTGTGTTCTGAAAACCTTCCCACGGGCATTTCACAGAAAAGCACCAGCAGCCAATAAAATGTTCCAGATTGAGCAATAAGCTTACAACATTGATAAAAGTAAATGAAATGCCTCTTGTCCATCTCTTCACCGTAGAGTCACGCAGGGCACAGCATGCTCACTTCCTTTACAGGTATTGAATTAAAAGGAAGAAGCTGAAGCAAATTTAATATAAGTAGAGGGTGTATTTGAGCCAAGCTTGAGAATTGCAGCTCAGGAACACAGATTCAAATTACCCTGAAATACACTTCAATCAGCAGCAGTTACATGTGGGTAAGCTGTTAATTGTCTATACACTGTTCTTTGTATCACAAATTCCAAGAACATGAAGATAATGGGCGAGACAGCTAGTCAGGAACAAAATGAGTTTAAACAATTGTCCCCAGGCATAGGTGCTGGGGGCATGACTGAAGTCCCATACTCGTGCCTGTCTGGACCTGAAAAATTTTGCAAACCTACATAGCTCAGATTTCTCTGAGCCATTTCTCTTTTCTCACAGGTCCTTCCTCCTCTCCCCATTTCCAACTTTTCCTCTGTCCTCCTCCCTTTCTTCCCCTGAAGAAGAGGGGAAGTATAATTATTACAGAACAGATAATGCTTAAAGACAGAAAGGAAATAGCAAAAAAAAGACACTGCCATACTCTGTTGTTTACACTAAAAATTGGCATAGTCCTTTAAGACCACCAAATGACTGTATGTATCAAAATTTTAAATTTTCGTATCCTTTGTGTTTGGGTGAAGGAAAAGGGACAAGATGGAGGAAGGTGAACAAGATGGAGCAGTCCCTGTTGTTTCCGGGTTCTTCTTCACAGATTTTCCCGCGCCCGGGAAAAGAACCAAATCAACTGAGCATGCGCAGAATGACGTCAAGCCGAGGACACCGAAATTCAAGAAGCCACTCCTACACACTCGCCCCAAACTCCTCCCCTTCCAGCTCCCAGGCATAAAAGTCCGCTGCCGGCAGGAGCCGGGGTGACTTCTTCGGCCTCCGCATTTGTGGACCGGAGAACATCAGCCGAGAGCGCTGGGCGCGACTTCCCTGGCCCCCCACACCTGAGGACCAGAGAACTTCGCCCAAGAGTGTGTGCATATTTGCAATAAAAGACTGCCACTTTCTTACGTACTTTGGCCTCATGTTTAATTACTTAGCTCTCCTAAATTAAGTTACATTAAATAAAATTAAAACAGTTGGTGCTGAAACCCGACCCAGGAGGAGACCCTTCCTCAACATTCCCTAGGGGTCTAACGAACCTCCTCCCCAGCGAACCGGCTCCCAACCCAACCAGCCACGAACACCGAACAAGTGTTCCAGCCTCCCACTGGTGCCGCTCTGAGAATTTCTCCTTCGGTGAGTACTCCCCTTTGTTAACCATCTCCGTCCGTTTCCGTGTCCTTGGCCTGGAGTCGTACGTACGCCCAAGGACGTAGTCACCCTGTGGCGCAGTGAGGTCTTCAACCCGGAGACGTCCGTCTTGAAGTTCCTCAATTCTCCGTTAGTGGCTCCAGGAGCCCCCGGTCTCTAGCAGCGGCAAAGGACGCTTTGCCACTGAGTGAGGTCGGTTTCCATTTCTGGTGGTTAAACAATGGGAACCTCACAATCGAAACCTCTCCACTGTGGCATGGCCGCAGTATAAATTAGACAACCAATCTCAATGGCCACCAGACGGCACACTTGACTATAACATTCTATTAGATCTCTCTAATTTCTGCCAGAGGCTCAGAAAGTGGTCAGAAATTATCTATGTTCAAGGCTTTTAGGACTTGCGCTCTCGTCCAGACCTGTGCGCCTGGTGTTAAATGGCCCAGGTCTTGTTAGCCTAAACCCCTAAACCCGGCCCTTGGCCCCCACCTCAGCAACTGAGGAGGACTCCACCTCCATTTCAGATAGGGCCAACGGCAGGCGACCTCCCTCCCGACTTTCCAACCCCCCTCCCTATGGACTTCCTACCACCCCTCCCGACGCTCCTCCTTCAGCCACTCCTCTCACCCCTCCCTATGGAGCTCCCACCGCCCCGCCCGACACTCCTCCCTCAGCCACTCCTCTTACCTCTCCCATTTCCGCCCACACTCGCTCTAAGACCACAGTAGCGGCCCCCATTAGTCAGCCCTCTACCAGTCAGCCTGCCCCAACCCCCTCTACCAGTCAGCCTGTCTTAACCTACCCTACTGGTCAGTCTGTTCCAACCTCCCCTGCTAGTTTGTTGCCCCCTCCCCCACCCCGAGAAGTTGCTGGAGCCAAAGGCGTGGTTAGAGTCCACGTCCCCTTTTCCTTGGCTGACCTTTCCAAAACTGAAGAACGACTTGGCGACTTCTCAGCCAACCCCACCTAATATTCCAAAGAGTTTCGATACCTAGGCCAGAGCATATAACCTTACCTGGCATGACTTACATGTCATTCTTACTTCCACTCTTAACCCAGAGGAAAGAGAGTGCATTCTCGCAGCCGCCAGGCAACATGCAGATCAATGGCATTTAATCGACGCCACCGTCCTGTTAGGAGAGATGGCTGTCCCGTCCATAGAACCAGATTGAGATTACCAACTGCAGCAGCCTGGCCGCCGTAGGAAGGACATTATGGTTCAATGTCTCTTGGGCGGTATGCAGGCAGCCTCTAACAAAGTGGTCAATTTTGATAAACTAAAGGAAATCATCCAGCACCCAGATGAGAACCTGGCTACCTTCCTAAATCGCCTTACAGAGGCACTAGCCCAATTTACTTGGCTAGACCCCACTTCCCCAGCTGGAGCAGCTGTCCTAGCCTCCTATTTTATCTCCCAGTCAGCCTCAGATATTCCAAAAAAGCAAAAAAGGTTGAAGATGGGCCTCAAACACCCATACAGGACTTAGTAAAATTGGCCTTTAAAGTTTTTAACTCCAGAGAAG